GGTGGTGGCACACGCCTTTAATCCCAGCACTCAGGAGACAGACCCAGGCAGATCTCTGTGAGTTCGAGGCCAGCCTGGTCTACAGAGTGAGATCCAGGACAGGCACCAAAACTACACAGAGAAACCCTGTCTTGAAAAAAAACAAAAACAAAAATCAAAATTGTTTCTTTTTGTGAGGCAGGCGGCATGTGTGGTGTGTGTTTGTGGTTATATGTTTTTAAGAAATTTATGTTTTGCTATTTTATGTGTATTGATGTTTTTCCTGCATTTACAGTGGTGTACCATTTTTTGCTGTGCCCTTGGGAGCCAGAGGAGGGGTCAGATCCCCCAAACTGGAGTGACAGGGGGTTGTTAACCATCATGTGGGTACTGACAGTCCAGCCCAGGTCCTCTGGAAAAGCAGCCAGTGTTCTTAACCACCGAAGCATCTCTCCAGCCCCTATACTTTTTGTTTGTTTGTTTGTTTGTTTGTTTGTTTGTTTGTTTTGAGAAGGTCTTTCATCCTTAAAGCTCTCTGATTCCACTAAGTGGCCTGGCCAGTGAGCTTCAGAGTGGCATTGCCCACAATGGGCTACCCCCCCATCCATATTAATCAAGAAGATGCTGAAGTGCCCAGTAGACTGGCGCTGGAGGCGTTTTCTCCGTTGAGATCCCCTCTTCCCTGATGACTCTACCTAGTGTCAGATGAACAGAAAGTAACCAGGACCTCTGGGTCAGGTGATGTGAGGATGCTCGGCCCGGAGGCCAGTGCTAGGGAGGGGGCACTAAGGGACACAGGTCCCTGAGGTCTGTCAGAGGAGCCTAGCTCTTTCTCTCTGACAGGCAATCTACAAGCTGAAGAAAGCCTGCCGGGTGGAGCTGGACCTGGAACAGCAGGGTCAACTGCTCACACCTGAGGAGGTGGTGGACAGGATCTTCCTCCTGGTGGACGAGAATGGAGATGGTAAGAGAGAGCTGGGGAGAGGCTGGCCTGAAATCTCAAAGGGCACCGAAAACACCAGAGCACGTTTGCCGGGCACAACTCTGCTGAGAGTGCCCACTCGAGGCTGAGCATGAAAATAAGGAGAAGTATTTTAATACATGTGCTATGTACATGAATGTTTGCCTGCACGCATGCATGTCTGTGCAACATGTGCATGCAGAGCCCACTGAGGCCAGAAGAGAGTGGTGGACCCCCTGAAACTGGAGTTATAGACAAGTGTGAGCCATCATGTGGGTGCTGGGAATTGAACC